GGGTTGACATGTTGTGGGGTTGGTAACCAATGTCATAAAACAATATGTGTACTACCGTTTCATGAGAAACTATTTGTTCTGTAAGCCTTCACCTGAAGTACAATTAAAAAAAAAAAAAAGTCACATCCCAGAGGACAGGAATAATACCTCAAGTACCTTCCAGCCAGAGGTAGCATGAGGATCAAAGAGGATAACACAGGTTCTCCTAAGAAGCATGATGTCAGTTGCAGTATGTCATGTGTGAGCTATCTATGGGACGGTGAAGAGTCTGTGTCCAATGGCTACTGTCGTCTGGAACTTAAGACAGAGGCCTTGAATCAAGCTATAAGTGTGGGAGTCACACATCTCTAGAAGATAGCAGTGAAACTAGGAAAAACAGTGGGCTCATCCGGGTAGAAAAAAACAGAGTAGAAGAGCAAAGGATGGACCTCTAGGAACACCAACATTGTAGCCAAGGACAGAAAGGAAAACCAGGAGGCTATAGGTCATGAAATCTGAGATGTGGTATTGTTATTTCTTAGGCCTTTAACTGAATTACTTTTCCTGTTAAGCATATATTTCTTGCTAAACACATGTCAATGGTTACCTATATAAATAGTGTACAATCTCTCAGAAAGGTTTCAAGGAAAATAACCCATAATACATAATTAATCACACTTAAAAATTTACAACAAAAATTAGCTATGCACATACTCAGGAAAATTTGTATAAATACATTTCCCTACCACCATTCTCCACTCACTCTGCAACTTGCCTCTGCAGAAAACAATAAAAGTTTGAAGTGCTTTGAAAACGAGAGACCATACATTTCAGGATCCTTCAGGTAGCCCAATCCATAAAATCATTAACTTATTCATTAAACAATTTCTATTAAGTAACACAAAGATTTGGTATAAAGCAAAATTTAGTTGTCCACTATATCTATAAAAGTATGAAAAAAGTAAACACTATTCCATTTATCAAGTTTCAGTAAAATTACTGCCTAGTGATATTCTGGGGAAAGAAAGGAAAAAAAGCCTACCTACACCCTTTATTCCTCCTCTAAGATGTCTATGGAAAGCTGTAGGGTGGACAAGACAGAAATGGTGGGGATGTGAAAATTTTATTGGTGCCCTTTTCCTCGGCAAATATAAATACAGTCTATGTTTATACAGTGATAAAATTCATTTGCAAAAAATTAGGAGGGGTATTTATTTGGAACTACAGAGAAACCAACTGGTATATTAAACTTATTGCAAGGGGGCAACTTCCTTCCCTTGCCAGTTATTTAGTCTACAGAGGAAGAAGCCTCCACTCCCACCCACCCCAGTTCTGAACAGCTACAGAGTCAAGGTAAAGAGATGAATGCGTGACTGTGGACTCCAACACCAAAGACTAAGCACTATCTTGCCCCATTATGGCCCATTCTATCATTTAGTTCAATAACTGACCATTTTTAGATATTGCAACCTTTTGGATATTGTTCATCGAGCACTTCAGGTGAGGATTAGTGATTCTAAATCCCTGTACTCATATTATTTTTACAATTTTGGATGACGTCTGTAGGATGTGATACTAAATATTCAGTGATCTGGTTAATCACAACTTCAAATGAAGGCACTTACTTTGCATCAGCAGCCTGAGAATGTCACTGTACTGGTCAGGGAACTGATAGAGGAGGAGGTAAGTCCAGTGCTTACAGAAAAGATTAAATGGCATCAAAATATCTTCATCTGGTTCAAGGCCCCAGGCAGTAAGTGCTGAATGAATGGACTCCAGAAGCCTGGTACGATCAGACAGAGGAGGTTTAGTGGAGTTTAGCCATAGCTTAAGATCGAACTAAAAAGAAAAAGAAACAAGAAGCAATTTTATTTATACCAGAAAATTCATTAAAGTAGAGAAAGGTCAGTGCAAATTTCATTTAAAAATTGAAAACAACATGTATATACAAGTAGGTAAAAAAATATAAAACCAAGCCCGCTGCCGTCGAGTCTGATTGATGACATTATGTCTCTGTCTCTACTTCACTCTCTGGGATCTCAGAGGCAGAGTTTTCTGAACAGTCTTTTTTGTAATTTAAAAATATTACTGACCTTTCATTATTGGTTTACAATTCTATTCTGTTCCTGAATGGTCCACACATTTGTATCTGTCTAATCACAATACAGGGTGGCTATGAGTAGGAATCAACTCGACGGCAACGGGTTTAATCACAGTATATTTTCTCTACAAGACGTGGACCAGAACTTTGTAGTTCTCCTTCACTGGCCACAGTGCCACAAACAAGCAGCCACTTTTATAGAACTGTCTCAATTTAACAGCCATGTTTCTAAATCTGCAGTTACCTATTTCGGCTAATAAAAATCCCAAACTATAGAACATCTTCTCCCTCATTACAGTCTCTGGGGCCTAAAAAATGCCCAGGTTTTATTGATTCGTAGGTGTCAAGTGAAGGTAAAATGGCTAAGGCTGTATAATTCTCAACTGGTTAAGTAAACTCACGGCCGTGGTTTACAAGAGTTAATACTCTACTCAGAATGAAAACTTAAACAATTTGCTTACATTCAGCTTGTCCTAAATATGAGAGACTTGGACATGTTGCAACTCCTTTACCAAACACTAGTTAGGCGTAAGTTCAGAGTAATTTCAAAAGAGGGATGTATTAAATTACTAATAAGAATATTTTCAAAACTGTACTAAGTTTTTTAAGAGGACCTGGGAGCTAGTCTTTTTTTTTTTTGGAGCTAAGTCTTCTTTATACTACATAAATAAGACTGTATAACAAAATACAAGTAAAGCCCCATGAGAGGAAGCTATGGGATCAGGCCGCTCAAAGATCACACAAAATGTGAAGAGGGCCTGTCAGCCTATGGTCAACCTGGAAACAGGGCTCCAGAGCCCCTTTCATTTCTACAGAGTGGGAAACAACAATCATTTTTACAGTTGAGTGATAATATCAGGACTGAATCACATCTCACCTTGGTTAGCAGCATGAAAATCATATCACTATTGTCCTCACTTAGAAACTTGACCACTTTCTCATATAGCTGTATGAACTCTGCGGGCGTAGCACTGGGAGTGAAGAAAGGAGACAGAAGAGAGCAGAGCCTTCTATTCTTCAGAATGGTCTGAAGTACTTTCTTGCATTCCGATTTAGTGCCACTGATAAACACCTTGAAAGAATAAGGAGGAAAAATGTCACCAATTCTCCCCTCTCCAATTTTTATTTAAGCAACTAGGTTTCAAGGGGTAGTAAATAAAGTGAATAGAACTTTTTCTAAATGAAAATATGAAACAGTCAAAAAAAATCTAAATCAACACAGATAATCCTATCACTTCCAATGTAGGTGACATTGAAAATTCTGCATAATCCACCAATCTGATTTGGACAATCATATATAGAAAACATTGAGATAACTGTACTAGAAAATTTTTAAAAGATTAAAATATTAGGGTAATCTGAATCTAGAAATTTGCAACGAGCCTACTAAATATCAAAGGTGATTCTATATAATGCCAAGAAAACAAAACTTCTAGATTATAGATTTTGTGGGAGATGTAACTTTCATAATTAATATATAATCATGATAACTTTGCCTTATTTTAACTCAGGTCTAATGTTAAAAAGTACCATAATAAAGCAAATACTTAAATAATCTCAAGGTGAGGAAGCCTTTGATAAGCTTGACCACCAAAAAAAGAAACCAAACCCATTGCCACTGAGTCAATTCTGACTCAAAGCGACCCAACAGCTTGACAACATACAGAAATAATAATAAAGAACAAGACTGACAGATTTGAATATATAAAAATTTTAACAAGGCAAAAAGTATCATAAAATTAAAGGAAAATGACAAACTAGAAAAATTTATTTATAAAACATTCTAGATACCAAGTTAGTCGTCTGGAGGAGTTTTTACAAAATCAAAAAATGAGAAAGTCTTCAACAGAAAAATATGCAAAGGGCAATAACCCTGGTAATTCAAAAAAATATATAAATGACCAAAAAACACATGGCAAGACATACAACTTAACAAGTACTTAAGGAAATGCAAATTAAAATAATAATGCTATTACATTAGCAAGATTTAAAAAGAACGCTAACTCCTAATGTCGGTTATGTTGCAGAGAATAATAAATTCAAACCCTATTATGACAGTACAAATAGGTACAAACATCCCCGGAGGGCAGCGTGACAATATATGTTAAATGTCATTCCTTTTGACCTAGCAATCATACTTCTAGGAAATAATCCTTAAAAAAAATAGTGACAAGTTCACAAAAATGTATGTGTAAGAACATTTATCTCAGACTTATTGTAGCAAAACAAGCTGCCTAAATATCCATACTGAGGGAACTAGCTCAATATATTACAACGTATCTGTATCATGGAGCACTATGCAAACATTAGACACCATGATATAGATGTGCATTTATTAACACAGAATGATGTCCAAAAGATTATAAAATGAAAAAGGCAGGTTATGAAACAGCATGTAACTGTTTTTGAGAGTTGATCACAATATATAAATATATGTAGGAAGGATATAACATTTTTACATTTATACACACATCCACTACATCCGGAAACCCTGGTAGCATAGTAGTTAAGAGTTTGACACCAGGCGCTCCCTGGAAACCCTATGGGGCAGCTGTACTGTCCTATGGGGTCATTATGAGTCGGAATGGTTTGGTACACTATACCCTTTCACCGTACTTATTCAATCTGTATGCTGAGCAAATAATCTAAGAAGCTGGACTATATGAAGAACAAGGCATCAGGATTGGAGGAAGGCTCATTAACAGTCTGCGATATGCAAGATGACACAACCTTGCTTGCTGAAGGTGAAGAGGACTTGAACCACTTACTGATGAAGATCAAAGACTACAGGCTTCAGTTTGGATTACACCTCAACATAAAGAAAACAAAAACCCTCACAACTGGACCAAGAAGCAACATCATGATAAACAGAGAAAATACTGAAGTTGTCAAGGATTTCATTTTGCTTGGATCCACAATCAACACCTATGGAAGCAGCAGTCAAGAAATCAAACAACGAATTGCGCTGGGCAAATGTGATGCAAAAGAACTTTTTAAAGTGTTGAAAAGCAAAGATGTCCCTTTGACGTCTAAGAGGCACCTGAGCCAAGCCATGGTGTTTTCAATTGCCTCATATGCATGCGAAAGCTGGCCAATGAATAAGGAAGACTGAAGAATTGATGCCTGTGAATTATGTTGTTGGCTAAGAATACAGACAATACTGTGGACTGCCAGCAGAAGGAACAAATCTGCCTTGGAAGAAATACAGCCAGAGTGTTCCTTGGAAGCAAGGATAGGGACACTTGATCTCACGTACTTTGGACATATTATCAGAAGGGACCAGTCCCTGGAGAAGGACATCATGCTTGGTAAGGTAGAGTGTCATTGAAAAAGAGGTAGACCCTCCACGAGATGGACTGACATAGTGGCTTCAACAATGGGCTCAAACATAAAAATGATTGTGAGGATGGCACAGGACTGGGCAGTGTTTCCTTCTGTTGTACACTGGGTCACTATGAGTCGGAACTGACTCGATGACAACTAACAATAACAAGGCTAAAAACACAGAATAACCTTACCTGTCCCAAGATCTCAATGCATGAAGTAAAGAACTGCCTTGTAGGAGGATGACGCTGTGTCTCATCACTGACATAATCCACAACAGTAAAGAAAAGGTCAATGCCAACTTTCTGAACTCCAGGTGTAGGCTGTAACTTGTAGGCGTTCACTAAGGCCCTGTGGGAAAATTTAGGTAAGATTATTGGTCTACAGTGAGAGAATCTATATTCACAAGTGTTTCTTTGTATACCCTACAAAGATATACAGGCAAAATGCTTAAGAGTCCTAAGAATCCCATATACATGTTACTTCAGAAATATTTCATGGAGAAAATGTGTATCTCTCAACTTATTTTCAATATATAGTAATGATTTCATGCCCTCCTCGCGGAGGCAAAATAATAGCTGTATTATAAGGACTAATTAACAGTCTTACTCTTTTTAAATTTTTTCATATGTTGTATGTAATTCATAGTTTGTCATTTAACTCCAGGCATACCTTACATAATATATATTTTTAAAAACAAGAACCCTGATTTCTCTAAACTCTATAATCCAAAACACTGACTGAGGTTGAGGAAAGATTTTTGTAAAGAGTAAGATTCTAGAAAAAAAGATATCCTTTTTAATTCTCACACTTAAGTTCCTTCCTTTCCTGGTAAAAGAACTATCAACCTCTTATTTACCTTCTCCTCCTCCTTCCCAGGCCCCCCAACCAAACCCACAAAAGGACTCATTGTTCCCCTCCACCCTACCACCCTAATCTACTGAGGTAGCTGCTGGTACCAGAATATGGAGTCACCTTAAAGTCAGAGAGTACCCCTTCCCTCTCCTGAGTCATGTCCTGAGGCTTTAGGAGGAAAGGAAATGGTGAGAGTAAGCCCGGTGGCTCCAGGAGAAAACCACAATGGCCAAATTCAAGTTAGAAACTACACTTGAGAGTCATAATTCCCCTGAGCAATTCTACTGCAAACTTTGCTCAATAACCTAAGAGTTGACAATGATGACTTCCTGGGTAAATGCAACTCTGACATAAAACTTAAGCCATAAATCTCTCCATGACTGAATTTCAATGCACTGTATCATCTCATAATTCAAGTGTCAACAAACTTTTCTTACAAACAGCCAGAGAGTAAGTACTTTATGCTTTGCAGGCCATAAAATCCCTGTCATAACTACTCAACTCTGCTACTGCGGCATAAAAGCAGCCATAGACAATATGTAAATTGTCGAGATCCAAAAAAACTTTACATACAAGAACAAGTGATAAGCCAGATTTGGCCCAAAGGTCGTAGTTTGCTGTTCTCTGTACTGACTGGTAGGTCTGGGGGATGCAGCAGCATATACAATTACTATCAATAGTAACAAGATAATATTTTAAATTAGAATACCCTCAAAACTTACGTAATCAAGTTTTCTGCATGCACAGCGGCTTCCACAATATGAAGTGATGGTGGTTTAGCAGCTTCTGCTTGCAAATGCTTCACTTCTTTTCGCAAAACATGGAGCTGCTGGCTTACTGCTTCATTCTTATGCATACCTTCAAACTAACAAAAATTAAAGTGGTCAACAGACTTTCTTCCCCTACATGTTTCTAGAACAGATGCTTTATTACAAACACGCGAGGCATAGGATGAATGGAATATTATCATCATTAATATTATATAACTCAAAACGCTCCACTAAACCTGAAAATGATGGGAAAAAATTATTCAAGAATCTCAGGTTTATTATAAAGAATCAAGCTCAACTTAAAAGAATTTTATTATAAAAATTCCAAGTTATATATATACACGGATACACACACACGTATTTGCCTTTTAAACTACTATGATCCTGAGTTAATCACTGGTTCAAAGTCTTTTGTAGGATATATTCTACTTCACTTATGCTTAGAGTCCACCAATCCTCATCAAAAACAGACTCAATGTCTTCCACCCCTGAGGCTTTCTTTTTTTTTTTCTTTTTTTTTTTTTGGTGAACAGAAGTTCCTCCTCTGTTGATCAGGCCTCTCTGTTCTCCCATTCCAAAAGCACGTACAACTGGAAATACTCAGCTTCGCATCTCCTGCATGTCTGGCATAACAGAGGATGTCACAACAGATGTTGTTGACAAAACAACTGCCATTTTTAAAGGAAGAAAAGATATCTACTCATAAAACAAATAATAAAATAGGATAAAAATATGAGAAAGCATCCAAATCAGCTGCGTGTCTAAGAAAAAGGAACCGGCTCGTCCAGTGGTTCCTAAAAGCTGGCCTTTGATAAAAACTTTATTGGTTCTCAGTAAAGATGTGAGAAATAACAGAAATTTATTGAATGCTAAAAAAAATAAAAACTAAATTCATTTCAATTTTAAAAAACTACCCTTTATTTTGGAGATTATGTCCTTCCTTCTTGAGGGAGTTGTTAAAATACCCTTTAATTAATTGATGGTGACATATATGGCAACTGGTTTTGTGTATTAATGTCCTTTTTTGACAAAACAAAAAAACTGGCAATCATATGTTGAGCCCTGCTCCTCCCCCAGTTTTTATTTTTAATTGGTTTATATGGTCAGAAGTTTAAGAACTAGTACACTTGATCAATGTGGCCTGAGGAGCTAGGAAAGATGGGACTTATTGGAGGTGGAGAAATGCAGAAGAAATCAGAGGACATCTAGGCCCAGGATGTAATACAAAGACAGAACCAATATAACAGATGCGTTGGGGGGAGCAGACAGAGGGAAGCAAGGAGGAGCCCCTCCCCCCAGGCAGATGCTGGGGGCTGGTGCTGAAGTGTGCAGTGCAATCAGACCAAGGGTGGAAGGGCTGTCTTGGGGAGGTCTTTAATACCAGGCTTAGGAGTTTGGACTTATCTTGCAGACATGGCAGAGAAAGCTGAAATTTGAAATCCTACATTCTTCTCAAAGGGTCTCTCACAGTTACATGGGTGAGCAGTAGGGTCTATATTTTGCTTTTATGCACTTGCCCAAACCCAGTCATCAGTGCCCCCTGCAACAATTACAGATATCCTTTGTAAATAATGCACATGCTTAATTCACACATTTATTTAATCAAGGCCCTCATGTCCTCGTTGGGATTATCATCATAAATTCCACATCAAAAGCTCCTGAAGCGCATGGTCCATTTGCTGTGCTTTACACAGAAGCCCAGCACAGCACAGCACAACCCTGACTGTACACTTAGCACCCATTTTCTATGATCATGATGATAACCTTCTTCTATAAAAATCACCAATGTTGTGTTAGAAATCTTTACAAAATTTCTTGCTTTAAAGAAAAAATAAGCTGTCAGTATGACATTAAAGGCATGAAAACGACTATCTAATGTTAACAATAATTACTTTAATTTTTACTGTTGGAAAAATAAAATATTAAAAATTAAATTACTTGCATTAAAACACACAATAAGTCGATGCAACTATTCAAATTAAATTTCAAAATTTTCAAGTAACAGACCAATGTTTAGTGGCCTAGAATGTGATTAGGAGTATGCACAGTCAGCTCTTTGCCTAATATGTCATCACCTTCAGTTAGACTGGGTCTGTGAGCATCACGGAGTGCCCTTGGCCCGCTTAAGACAAACTGGCCAAACGCAGGAAAAGAGAATCTGAGAGGTGGAAGGAAAACTGTGAGAATGCAGGAAAGCAGAGAGACAAAGGATGAGAGAGACAAGAAAAAAGTTCACTTGACTAAGAAATGCAGAGACAAGACTAAAATCACTATGTAACCTGAACTTGAAAACTGCCAACACATGTTCTAGAAAATACTGATGCTGAAGAACAAAATAAAACCAACTAGTTTAGTAGAGTTTAGACACTCACAAAAAATAGCCTAAATTTGTCATTATTTTCTAGTCTACATATTTTTATTCATTGTTCCCACCCACTGTTGAAAGCTTTCTTTTCTTATTAGAACAGAAGTGAGAGGTTGAATGACTACTGGCTCACAATTACAAGAAGTTGCAGACAATAGAACAAAGCAACATGGTGGAAGCCACTCGAGTCACTTAAAGTAGACAAAGAAATTTAAAAGTTAGTCGAATCATGTCCTTCAGCAAGTTCTTACAATAACGTGAGGACCTCAGTGGGTCTTTTCCATCTTTCATCTTTAGGAATGAGCAAATTTTTCACATGATAATAAATCAATCCTGGGTCCAGCAAACATTCCCCACAATACCGAAGTACAACAAAAGGGACCTTATTATGAATCACTGCATTTCCTCAGGGAATATCATTGAATCATTAGAAAATTTTTTTAGGAGGGGAGACCATAGAAGAAGCACGTCTCAGCTCCCATGAAATATATTTGGCTTTCGGTGACTTCCGGCAAGATGGCGCTCTAGGCAGAAACACCACGCTGTCCCTCCACAACAAAGATCCGATAAACTAAGCCAAACAGAGAATCAACAATCCTGAAACCCTAGAACATCAAATGAAGAGATAAAGAACTCAGCCGAACACCAAACGGAGTAAGAATACT